CCATTGGTGTTTTGTTCAGAAACTCTTCTCCTGTGTCAATGCATTCAAGGCTATCCCTACTTTCTCCTCTCTCAGGCTCAGTGTAACTAGATTTATGTTGAGGTTTTTAATCCAATCAAACTTCAGTTGATAAATATGTTGTATTCTTCTGTATGTAGACAGCCAGTTTGTTGAAGATACTTTTTTTTTCTAGTGTCTATTTCTGGCTTCTTTATCAGAAATCAAGTGTTCACATAGGTGTAGGTTTATGTCCGGGTGTTCAATTTAATTGATCAATATGTCTGTTTTTATGTCAATATCATGCAGTTTTTATTACTGTTGTTCTGTAGTACAGCTTGATATCAAGGATGATGATACCTCCAGAAGTCCTCCAATCTGCCCAGTTCTACCTTTCTTCCCTCCTTCCTTCTTCCCTCACCCTTCCCCTATTACACCTACTCTTCAGGAAAGGGAGCACCCCCTAGCAATCCACCCAAGCACATTAAGTTGCATCAGGACTATTGTACAGGATTATTTTAGCTACCCTGTTGTTTTTTTTTTTTAATTTTATTTTTTATAATATGTTGTGATTGCTTTTTTGTGGTCTGTAAAGAATTGTGTTGGAATTTTGATGAGAATTGCACTACATCTATAGATTATTTTTGGTAATATGGCCATTTTCACTATGTTAATCCTACCAATCCATGAGCATTGAAGATCTTTCCATCTTCTGATAACTTGTTCAATTTGTTTCTTCAAAGACTTGAAGTATATCACACAGTTCTTTCACTTGCTTGGTTAGGGTTACCCGGAGATAATTTGTATTATCAGGGCCTATTGTGAAAGGTGCTGTTTCCCTGATTTCTTTCTCAGTCTGTCATTTGTACATGGAAGGTCTATTGATTCCTTTGTGGGAGGAATGGTTAATCTTTTATCCATCCACTTTGATGAAAGTGCTAATCAGCTGTAGGAGTTCCCTAATGGAAATTTTAGGATTACTAGTGTAAACTATCTTATCATCTTTAAGTAAAAATAATTCTTTCTTTCTAATTTTTATTCCCTTAATTTCCTTGAGATGTGATACTTTAGCTAAAACTTTAAGTAATATGGTGAATAGATAAGGAGAGGACAGAAACCTTGCCTTGTTTCTGGTTTTGGTGGAACTATTTTGAGTTTCCATTTAATTTGATGTTGGCAATATGCTTTCAATAAATTGCCTTTATTATGTCTAGATATGTCCCTTCTATCTTTAATCTTTCTAGAACTTTTATCATGCAGGGGTGTTGGATTGTATCAAAGGCCTTTTCTCAATCAAATGATATAACCATGTGGTGTTTAAACTTTCAGTTTGCTTATATAGTGCATTATTTTATTGATTAATCACTTAAGCAGGGCTCACATGGCTCACAGAGACTGAAGCAGCAAGCACAGGATCTGCATGGGTCTATATAAGATCCTCTGCATTCATGTTATGGCTGTTGTCTTGGTGGTTTTGTGGGACTACTAGCAGTGGGAGCAGATGTATCGCTGAGACTTTTGCTCTTGGTACTCTTTTCCTTCTATTGAATTGCATTGTCCAGACTCAATATGAGGTCCTTTGTCTTGTCTTATTGTATCTCCTTTTGTCTTACTTGGCTGTAGTCTCTTGGAGATCTGCTCTTTTCTGGTGAGGAAGAAGAGGTTGGAAAAGATCTTAGGGAGAAGAGAGGTGAGGATAGCTTGAAGGAGTCGAGGAAGGGGACATTGCAATCATGATGTATGAGAGAAGAATCTATTTTCAATAAAAATGTTAAAAAAAGAGATATAAAGAAAATAACTTTCTAAATGATGGCTAAAATAATAGAAAATGGGGTTCCTCTAAAGTAGAAATAAATGCTCTGTATACTTACAGAGTATCAGAACTTTTATTAGCTACTCAAATAGTTAAATATCTTCAGTTTGTCCCTGACCCTAGGCATCATAGGGTCTAAGATTTGGGGAAATAATTAGTTGTAGGAATTATAACTTATTCTCAACACTTGGAGATAGAAATGCTAAGAGTATTAGAATGATACTATGAATTTATCTCACTTATTTGTGTTCTGTTATTAATATTTACTATTGATTTATCTTTTAGTTAAACAGCAATTATTCCTAAACCAACTGTATACCCAAATCACCTCACAGAGACTAGGATTTATTTAGCTACCCTAGAGCACAATGCTGGGCAATAGTTACTCCATCCTAAACCTACAAGCCTGCTTAGTTTCTTCCCTTTCAGATTGCCCACATTATACTTGTTTTTAGTCATATCTTAGGTCCTGTTATCTCTCTCTATGGTTCCAAGTCCTCTCCTGCTTATCTTTCTCTCCATCCCCTCCCACTCCTTCCTTCTCCTGGCCTCCACACCAAGATAACCCACCCTATTCTCTCCACTGCTTAGCATTGTGGCTGTTTTTTTTTTTTTTGTTTTTTTTTTTGTTTTATGTTTTTTTTTTTTTATTGACAGTACAGAGAACAAATGGTGGCATGTTTACACAAACTTGAGACAAGTGATGCTTAGAATAAACATCACAATGCAATGTCCTAATTGAAACCAGAGAGTGGGTTAGAGGAATCAGCATTCAAAGGAACAAGGGTAAATTGTGTACCTTCCACAAGAACATTATACCAACATATTTGTTTTAGATTGGTCCTAATTTGGCTGGGTGAGCTCATGAGAGTCAGAATCAGTGAAAGCCAAGGCTTTCCCTTAGGCCCAGACATATGGAGAAGTAACTAGTTCCTTGTCTAAAACCAGAACATGTTGTCATGGCCAGTTGCCTGGGTCCAGGGCCTTGAGGGAACTTCAGTTTGGATCTTGAGGTATAGACTTCCCTCCCTGCCCCAAAGGTTATGGTTAGCAGTCCTAAGGCCACTGTGTGATCAGTCTCTGACAAACTTGAGATGTCAGGTGTTTCCTTTTGTATTATTTCTAGATTAGCTTCTTGCTGATTTTTTCTCAACATATGATGATTTTCAGTTGTTTCTGTTTTATTTTTCTTCAGAAAGTTTTATATAAGATTCCTTCTGTTGTATTTCTTTTTTTCATTGTTTCTTTTTTTTTTTGCATGAACTTCATTTAACTTTATTTTTAAAATTTTTATTATTACTTATTACAATTTATTCAATTTGTATCCCAGCTGTGTCCCCCTCCCTCATCTCTTTCCAATTCCACCCTCCCTTCCTCTTCTCCCCCTGTGCCCTTTCCCTAGTCCACTGATAAGTGAGGTCCTCCTCCCTTTCTATTTGAACCTAGCCAGCTTGGCATAAGATGTAGCTTGAGAAAGACATCCTGACCCCAAATTTTCAGTCTTCTTATTTGAATCCTCCTGTATTTCTCTGATAGAAAAAATCACAATGGATAGTCTAGTCAGCATGAGCTAATATAATATCTCTGTAGCAATCAGAAAATACAAAATGCTGACCAGAATGTAGATCAACTGGAACTTTGTTCGTAACTGGTTATAATTCATGATGGTGACACTATTTTGAAGAATGGTTTGTCAACTTCTTAAAAATGTATACTGTGTAACAATAGAGCCCAAACTTAATATACAGAGGTGTTGACACAAATCTAACAAAAACTATCTCCATAACAACTTGAGCATGGAGCCAGGCATGGTGGCACTAATATAATCCCAGCACTTGGGGAGGCAGAGGTAGACATATCTCTGTGAGTTTGAGGCTAGCCTGGTCTCCAAAGTGAGTCCAGGACAGCCAAGGATACACAGAGAAACCCTGTCTCAAAACAAAGAAACAAACAAAAACAAAAACAACAACGTAAACTTGAGCATGAAAGTTTATACCTAATCTATTTCCAAAAATTGCACAAGAGAAATTTTAACAGAAAGGAAACAGAATATATATAAACAAAGCATATTGTTTAATAATAGAAAGGAGTCATCCAGTCACCAAAAGGAAATAAATAGTTTGACTTAGTAAAAGAAGCTGATATTTGAATGCTACGTACTATTTTACTTCAACCAAGGAACATTTTGGAATGAGTAAATCTTCAGAATTATAAGAATCACTGGTGCTAGGTGCTCAGAAGAGAGGAGGCAGGCCTTCTGGATTGAGGGAAAGGAGTTTTTAGAAGGCGAAACTACAATAAGAGCTTCTGTAACTGTGGATTTATGACATTATATATTCATTACTGTTTATGAAATTTAAAGTAAACTGCAAATTTATAACATTTCTACCTTCCCTTTTCCTCCTTCAAATGCTCTCATACAGATTCCTTTCAAATTCATGGCCTCTTTATCCACTAAGTTCTATTGCATTCATATATATGTAAACATATATAATCCCAATATATCCTTTCAATCTATATAATGTTCCTTGTATGAATGTTTACAGGGCTGACTGTTTGGTATTGAGAAAACAATTGGTGTGCTCTTCCTTGAGGAGAATGAACTCTTCTGCTTCCTGATTTCTTAAGTTGTATGGGCTACAGTTTTAAATAGAATGCACTTCTCTGTTGTCGTGCTAGGACATAATTAAGTGCTACAAACATTCCTTCTGTTGTTTTCTTTTTCCATGACCACAATTATTTTAAATTCTTCCTTGTTAGTTTTTCACATCACTCCTTTAAGCTTATTTCTTTTTGCACTATCACGGTTCTCCTTGTTATTATTCATCAATGAGTGAGAGATATTCTTATCCTATACTAGATTCTGATTTCCTCTAGTTCTCCTCTCAGCTCCTTGTTCACTCCTCTCTCCATTATGAATGTGCAATTCAATGAATGATATAATGAATGGGTAGTTTAAGACTGATGTATTAGCCAAAGGGGGAAAACAAACAGGAGCAGAGGCCATCTATATCTCTGAGAGAATGAACTTGACCTTATGACTAAATGCAAATGCAGGTATCTCTCTCCACCCATTGCATCATAGCTCAGCTCTACAAATTAGTCTCTGCCTCCTTCCTTGGCTGACAGAAGAAAAGCGCACAAAAAAACCTGCCAAGTATACAAACAGTTCTCATTTTTGTTTTTACAGCTTAAGCCTTGTGCTGCCATTTGAAGAGAACTAAACTGCCATTTGAAGGATCATCTGGACAGGTTGTACTTTTTATTTTGATATTAACAGATTTCAAATGTATGAAATAAAAAATTTATGTCATTTTCTAAGTTGTTCCAAAATGAAGGAATGATAATGTCTGTATTGATACTATGCCTAATTTATACTGTAAATAATTTAAAGTCTTTTAATATTACTTGTCATAGAAATATTTTTACATATGCTTTGAGGTTTAAAGACCTTTAAGATAAAATTTACGTACTATAGATAACAGGAAAGTACTGAACATAATTGTTATAAAGGATCTTGAAAATACTATTGCTAACTTCTTATGTATATAACTTAAATAATAGAGCAGAAATGTAGATTTATTGACAAGTCATTCATGTGTATTCCATTTGCAGAATACTCTTCATTTTTTCATAGAAACAGAGTGAAAGCTACCCAGTCAAAACCACAGTATGATAGCCTTTTTCAGAATCTCCTTTGAAGTGTTAGGGGTTGACAGAAAAATGTATAAAAGGACAACTGCTTTCAGCCACTTTACTCAAACCCACACCAAAACAGAAAAAGCGAGAACTCAACAAAAATTATCAGCATTCTTTGTAGAAAAGAGGAAAGGTCACACAGAGAAGGGTAGCAGGATAAAGTTCAGGTACAGAAATAGAAGAGGAAATTATTTTAAAGAAAGAAAAAATATTATTTCTGAAATCATTAAATGTATGACTCACCTTTTAAACAATGTATGTTGCTGTTTCTGTACAACTGGTACCTATTCATGTCCTTATGAAATAATATTGATAATTTCTGACTGAAATACATATTTTAACAAAAAATAACCCACACAAGTTTGAGGTGATTTATGAAAAATGACAATGGGAGGAAAATGGCTTTTTGATGTCAGAACTTTAACTCTGAGACCAGCTTAACTGTGAATTGACAGCCTGTTGTCAGGCTATTGCTTAATTATGGGTTAACCATTCTGAGTTGACTGCAAGCTGCTTCTTAGAAATGTGTCTCAATCCACAAAGTAGAATTCACTTGAATAAACACACCAGCAAGGTAAATGATTGATGTTTTAGTTTTTTTTTACAAATGAACATTTTTTTTTCTTATAAATGTCTATTTTCTGTAAGATGAAATAAAATTCTGAAAACAAGCTGATGTAATATTTCTGTTTTGGGAATATAAATACTATTTTTAAATTGTTAGATCTATATGCATCATAGATTTTTTCCAAAGAGTTGAAATTAATCACAAGGACTAGGATTCTCTTTTCTTTGGAAAGAATACTATGACATATACTATTTTGTGGTTTTAAAAATTTTTTTCTGAACAACAGCAGACCAATGGAAAGGTGTCACCTGATGCCTTTCAAATTAGCCATTTAGACCTACACTGAATCGAACATAATATTGGGTGGGTTGTCTTGAAATGGCTTAGAGAAGAAAATAAATGCCAGGAAAACAATCTTGTTTATTAAAGTGAGGAAACAAAGTATTAACTATGAATTCCTTTAGGATCTTTGCATTTATAAAGTATATTCTTGGAAATTGTGAATGAGACATAATTTTACTGACTGAACAATAATGTTACCATGCCATTCCTTGACCCACTGTGGTATCTCCCAGCCAGCAGTTAAAAAATTTGATCAAGGGGTGAACCATTCTGCTGAGGCCTGTCATTTTGGGGTAAATCACTCACTGAGAAGTTCAATTATTTTTTAAGTAAGTGAGAAAAGTAAACTAAAGGTCAATGACTATAAAGAACTTTTATATAACCCTATCACTCCCAATTTTAGACACGAGTTTTACTTCCATGTAAGTACATTTATCAAACATTAAATTCCTTTGGTTCAATGACATATATTCAGGAACAAAGAAAGATTTGGGTTAGATACCTGACAGGACCTTTGTATGATGGCAGCCCATCTTTATTATTGAATGCAGGCAGGATCAAGCTTTTTGCTGAAATATGGTTGTATTTTAAGGCTTCTTAGTCCACTATAGGGGAGGAACTCCTCCCCTTTCATTTGATCCTAGCTTATCAGGTATCTTCAGGACTGGCTGCAAAGTCCTCCTCTGTGGCCTAGCAGGGCTGCTCCTTCCTTGAGGGGATGGTGGCAGAAGGTCAAAGAGCCAGCCATTGAGTTCCTGTCAGAAATAGTCCCTGTTCCCCTTACTAGGGTACCCACTTGGATATCGAGCTACCATGAGGTACATCTGAGCAGGGGTTCTAGGTTATATCCATACATGCCCCTTGGTTGGAGATACAGTCATATAAAAGATCCCTATGTCCAGATATATGTGGTCCTTATGGAGCTCCTGTCCTCACCAGGTCATACTAACTCCCCCTTTTTCATATGAATCCCTGCACTGTTGTGAAGGTTTGGTTATGGGTCTCAGTATCTGCTTTGATACACTGCTAGGTAGAGTCTTTCAGAGGACCTCTGTGGTAGACTCCTGTCCTGTTACTTGCTTTTTCCTACTCCAATGTCCATCCCATTTGTTTTTCTAAGTGAAGGTTGATCATCTTACCCAGGGTCCTCTTTCTTGTTCATCTTCTTTAGGTGTACAGATTTTAGTATGGTTATCCTATTTTATAGATCTAGTATCCACTTATAAGGAAGTAAGGGCAGGGAGAATATGAGGGAGGGAAGGTGGGATTGGGAGGGAATTCGGGAGCAGGATACAGCTGGGATAAAAAGCTAATAAACTGTAACTAATATTAAAAATAAAAATTTAATAAAAAATGAAACTAGAAAAAAAGACTTCTTAGTCTTTTCAGATATTTCATAAATTTGAATAAATTGAAGATTATTTGTCCATCCATCAAAGAATATTATATATTTATATAAATACAAAGTATATCGATAAATATTCTAAACTATAATATACTGTATAAATTATACTCTACATTACCTTGTACATTTGTACTTACTTATGTGAAATTTAAATGACTTATATTTTAGTAGAAATAAAAAGTACTTAAACAGTAAGAATATATATATATTGCATTTTTCCTCTACTTATTTTTTAATAATTTAATTAAATTAATTTAATTAAATAAATTTAATTAAATAAATTAATTTAAATAAATTAATTTAATAATTAAGGATTTTCAAATAAATCCTTTTTATTTCTCATAAAATAAGTTCTGATTACAGTCTTTACTACCTCTAATAATATTAAGTGCTTTTTTGCCCTGTGTAATAGGTAAGAAGGAACAGACATTTAAATGGCCTTTATGTGCAGAGTTATTGCTAATGTGAAAGCATTGCAAAGTGCATACAAACTTTAAAACATCTTGGTTTTTTTTGTTTTTTTTTTTTTGTTTTGTTTTTTACCAGTACACACCACTTTGAGATGGATCCTCCTATGTCTAAGTATTATGAAATTTTTGAGGAGTTCCGTGGAGTTCTAATGGATAAAAATTTCACCAAATATTGGGATGATGTTGAAACATTCTTGGCGAGGCCAGACGACCTTGTGATTGCTACTTATCCTAAATCTGGTAAGTGTTTTTGCTATGACTGTATGCTTCTTTGACACATAGAAACTATGAACCTTCTTTGAATCATCAATATTAAAGTGTTTGTCTGACTCATACTTATTTTCCATTAGAAGAAGAGTTGTAATAATTTTGGTATGACAAAAATATTAATAAATTTCACATTATCAGTTCTGTTCCACAATCTCCAACTCCAAGAACACAGTTAGTAACCCCATTAATCATGAATAAATGAAAAGTGTCAATTACACAATTATATTATTTAAAACAATTCAGTCTGAGATATGCACTGCATAATGAATATTTTTAACAATTTTATTTATATTATTACTGTGCATGAGGATTAAAAACCTTTTCAAAGGGAATCAAAAACACTCTTTCAGGCATCCACCTCCTCTTCATTGCATGTATTAACAAATTTTAATTCCATACATATATTCACAGATTACAATTCTGTTTTTCCCTCTGGTACTAGTATACTACTAATGCATAGTATAATACTATGCATTATACACAGTATAGTATACTAGTATTGTATGCACTATTCTACTGCTGGAAAAGTCCAATCTTATATTCTCTGTCTACTTATTAACATTTTGTAAGGGGCACAGTGGAGATGAGGGAGAGAGGGTGGGATTGGGAGGGAATGAGGGAGCAGGACACGGCTGGGATACAGAGTTAAAAAAATGTAACTGATAAGAAAAAAATAAAATTAAATTAAAAAAATAAGTTATAAAAATAAATAAATTAATTAAAAAATAACTTAGTCATCTATTTAAGATCATGTGATCCTATAATTCCAATACTTAGGAGACATGAGAATCATGAGTTTGAGTCCAGCCATAGTTACACATACATAATTTGTCTCACACTAAACTGAATCTCTCTCTCTCTCCCTCCCTCCCTCTCTCTCTCTCTCTCTCTCTCTCTCTCTCTCACACACACACACACACACACACACACACACACACACAAGTTAACATGAGATACAACCACTGTGTGTTTGGATACTTTTCCCTAAAGATGTTCCTCTGTTTCTCTTCTTAGCTCAGCTCAAAGGCAACACAGCATTATCATTGGAAGAAAGAGCACAGAGTAATTCTCCTTAAATCCTTGTGTTTTTATTTTTTTAATAATTTTTTTTACTATTAATTACACTTTATTCTTTTTGTATTCCCCAATAAGCCCCTCCCTCCTTCCCTCCCGATCCCATCCTCCCTCCCCCTTCCTCATGCATGCCTCTTCCCAAGTCCACTGATGGGGGGGGGTTGTCCTCTTCTCCTTCCTTCTGATCTTAGTCTATCAGATCACCTCAGGAGTGGCTGCATTGTCATCTTCTGTGGCCTGGTAAGGCTGCTCCTCCCTCAGGGGGAGGTGATCAAAGAGCAGGCCAATCAGATTATGTCAGAGTCAGTCCCTCTTCCCTTTACTATGTAACCCACTTGGACACTGAACTATCATGTGCTACACCTGTGCAGGGATTCTAGGTTATCTCCATGAATAGTCCTTGATTGGAATATGAGTCTCTGGGAAGTTCCCTGTACTCAAATTTTCTGGTTCTGTTGCTCTCCTTGTGTGATTCCCATCCTCTCCAGCTCTTACTATTTCCCACTTACATAAGATTCCATGCACTCTGCCCAACAGTTGGCCATAAGTCTCAGCATCTGCTTTGATTGTCTGCAGGGCAGAGGCTTTCAGAGGCCCTCTGTGGCAGGTTCCTAGGTTGTTTCCTGTTTTATTCATCTTCTGATGTCCAGCCTCTTTGCCTTTCAGGATGGACACTGAGCATTTTAGTCAGGGTGCTCTCTCTTGCTTAGTTTCTTTAGATGTACAGTTTTTAGTAGGTGTATATACCATGTTATGTATACATGAGTGAGTATATACTGTGTGTGTCTTTCTGCTTCTGGGACAGCTCACTCAGGATGATCCTTTCTAGGTCCCACCATTTACCTACAAATTTCATGATTTCCTTATTTTTCATTGCTGAGTAATACTCCATTGTATAGATGTACCACAATTTCTGCATCCATTCTTCAGTTGAGGGGCATCTGGGCTGTTTCCAGCTTCTGGCTATTACAAATAAAGCTGCTACAAACATGGTTAAGCAAATGTCCTTTTTGTGTACTTGCGCCTCTTTTGGGTATATGCCTAGGAGTGGTATGGCTGGGTCTTGAGGAAGCACTATTCCTAGTTGTCTGAGAAAGGGCCAGATTGCTTTCCAGAGTGATTGTACAAGTTTACATTCCCACTAGCAGTGGAGTAGGGTTCCCCTTTCTCCACAACCTCTCCAGCATGTGTTGTTACTTAAGTTTTTCATCTTGGCCATTCTGATGGGTGTAAGGTTAAATCTCTGGGTCATTTTGATTTGCATTTCCCTAATGGCTAATGAGCATTTCTTTAAGTGTTTCTCTGCCATTCGATATTCCTCTACAGAGAATTCTCTGTTTAGCTCTGTTCCCCATTTTTTAATTAGATTACATGTTTTAATGCTTTTCAGCTTTTTTAGTTCTTTATATATAATGGATATTAGCCCTCTGTCAGAAAAAGGGTTGGTGAAGATCTTTTCCCAATCTGTAGGCAGTCGTTTTGATGATGGTATCCTTTGATTTACAGAAGCTTTTTAGCTTCATGAGGTCCCATTTATTGATTGTTGCTCTTAGAGCCTGTGCTGTTGGTGTTCTGTTCAGGAAGTTGTCTCCTGTACCAATGAGTTCAAGGGTATTCCCCACTTTTTTTTTTCTAACCAATTTAATGTGTCTGCTTTTATGGTGAGGTCTTTGATCCAGTTGGACTTTAGTTTTGTGCAGGGTGATAAGTATGGATCTATTTGCATTTTTCCACATGTAGACATCCAGTTGGACCAGCACCATTTGTTGAAGATGCTGTCTTTTCTCCATTGTATGGTTTTGGCATCTTTGTCAAAGATCAGGTGTCCATAAGTGTGGGGGTTTATCTCTGGGTCCTCTGTTCGGTTCCATTGATCCACCATTCTGTTTCTATGCCAGTACCATGCAGTTTTTAAAACTGTTGCTCTATAGTACAGCTTAAGATCAGGGATGGAGATACCCCCAGAAGATCTTTTATTGTAGAGGATTGTTTTAGCAATTCTGAGTTTCTTGTTATTCCATATGAAGTTAAGAATTTTTCTTTCCAGGTATGTAAAGAATTGTGTTGGTAATTTGATGGGAATTGCATTGAATCTGTAGATTGGTAAGATAGCCATTTTTACTATGTTAATTCTGTCAAGCCATGAGCATGGGAGATCTTTCCATCTTCTCATATCTTCTTTTAATTCTTGCTTCAGAGACTGGAAATTTTTTTCATACAAGTCTTTGATTTGCTTGGTTAGGGTTACTCCAAGGTACCTTATGTCATTTGTGGCTATTGTGAAGGGTGTTGTTTCCCTAATTTCTCTCTCAGCCCTTTTGTCTTTTGTATATAGGAGGGCTACTGATTTTTTTGAATTAATTTTGTATCCGGCCACTTTGCTGAAGGTGTTTATCAGCTGTAGGAGTTCCCTGGTAGAGTTTTTGGGGTCACTTCACGAATACTATCATATCATCTGCAAGTAGTGATAATTTGACTTCTCCTTTTCCAATCTGTATCCCCTTGATCTCCTTCAACTGTCTTATTGCTCTAGCCAGGACTTCCAGAACTATGTTGAAGAGATATGGAGAGAGCGGGCAGCCTTGTCTTGTCCCTGATTTCAGTGGGATTGCTTTAAGTTTCTTTCCCTTATGTTTGATGTTGTCTACAGGCTTGCTGTATATTGCCTTTACTATGTTTAGATATGTGCCTTGTATCCCTGATCTTTCCAATACTTTAAATATGAATGGATGTTGGATTTTGTCAAATGCTTTTTCAGCATCTAGGGAGATTATCATGTGGTTTTTTTTTTCAGTTTGTTAATATGGTGGATCACATTAATGGATTTCCGTATATTGAACCACCCCTGCATACCAGGAATGAAGCCTACTTGGTCATAGTGGATGATATCTTTGATGTGTTCTTGTTTTCGGTTTGCAAGTATTTTGTTGAGTATTTTTGCATCAATGTTCATAAGGGAGATTGGCCTGAAATTCTCTTTCTTTGTTGAGTCTTAGTGTGGTTTAGGTACCAAGGTGATTGTGGCTTCATAGAATGAGTTTGGTAATGTTCCTTCTGTTTCTATTTTGTGGAATAGTTTGAAGAGAATTGGTGTTAACTCTTCTTTGAAGGTCTGGTGGAATTCTGCACTGAAACCATCTCTTCCTGGGCTTTTTTTGGATGGGAGACTTTCGATTACTGTTTCTATTTCCTTGGAGGATATAGGACTATTTAATTGATTTACCTCGTCCTGATTCAGCTTTGGTAAGTCAAATCGATCAAGAAAATTGTCCATTTCAGTTAGGTTTTCATATTTTGTGGCATATAGACTTTTGAAGTAAGTCCTAATGATTGTTTGGATTTCCTCAGTGTCTGTAGTTATGTCCCCCTTTTCATTTCTGATTTTGTTGATTTGGGTGGTGTCTCTCTGCCTTTTAGTTAGCTTGGCTAAGGGTTTGTCTATCTTGTTGATTTTCTCAAAGAACCAACTTTTGATTTCATTGATTCTTTGAATTATTTTATTTGTTTCTAATTGATTGATTTCAGCCCTGAGTTTGATTATTTCCAGCCGTCTACTCCTTTTTGGTGTGTCTGCTTCTTCTTTTTCTAGGGTTTTTAAGTGGGCCATTAAGTTGCTTGAATGCGCTGTCTCGAATTTCTTCTTGAAGGCACTTAGTGCTATGAACTTTCCTTTTAGCACTGCTTTCATTGTGTCCCACAAGTTTGGGTATGTTGTGTTTTCATTTTCATTGAGTTCTAGGAAGACTTTAATTTCTTTCTTTATTTCTTCCCTGACCCAGCTGTCATTTAGTAGCAAATTGTTCAGTTTCCATATGTGTGTAGGCTTTTTGTTATTTCTGTTGTTGTTGAGGTCCAGCTTCATTCCATGGTGATCAGACAGGATACAAGGGATTATTTCAATCTTCTTGTATCTGTTGAGGTTTGCTTTGTGACCAACTATATGATTTATTTTGGAGAAGGTTCCATGAGGTGCTGAGAAGAAGGTAAATTCTTTTTTGTTTGGTTGGGTAAATGTCTGTCAGATCCATTTGATTCATGACCTCTGTTAGAGACATTGTTTCTTTGTTTAATTTCTGTTTTGTTGACCTGTCCTTTGTTGAGAGTGGGGTGTTGAAGTCTCCTACTATTAATGTGTGGGGATCTATGTGTGGTTTAAATTTTATCAATGTCTCTTTTACAAATGTGGATGCCCTTGTATTTGGGGCATAGATGTTCAGGATTGTAATGTCTTCCTGTTGGAGTTTTTCCTTGATGAGTATGAAGTATCCTTCCCCATCTCTTTTTATTAATTTTGGTTGAAAGTCCATTTTATCAGATATTAGAATGGCTACTCCTGCTTGCTTCTTGGGTCCATTTGCTTGGAAAGCTGTCTTCCAACCCTTTACCCTCAGGTAATGTCTATCTTTGTGACTTAGATGAGTTTCTTGTATGCTACAGATTGCTGGGTTTTGTTTACGCATCCATTCTGTTAGTCTGTGTCTTTTTATTGGAGAATTGAGTCCATTGATGTTGAGAGAGATTAATGTCCAGTGGCTGTTGTTGCGTGTGGTCATAAGGTTGTGTGTTTGGTTGCTTTTTGTTTTACTGTAGTGAGGTTAATTATTTTCTGTGTTTTCTTGAAAGTAGCTAGTTTTCTTGGCTTGTATTTTCCCTTCTCGTGTCTTCTGTAACGTTGGATTTGTGTGTAGTCATTGTTCAATTTTATTTTGTCATTGAATATCTTGTTTTTCTCTGTCTATGAGGACTGAGAGTTTTGCTGGGTATAGTAGCCTGGGCTGACCTCTGTGTTTTCTTAGGGTCTGCATGATATCTGTCCAGGCCCTTCTGGCTTTCATAGTCTCTGTTGAAAAGTCAGGTGTGATTCTAATGGGTTTGACATTATATGTTACTTGGCCTTTTTCCCTTGCAGCTTTTAGTATCTTTTCTTTGTTCTGTATACTTACTGTTTTGATTATTATGTGACTGGAGGATTTTCCTTTCTCGTCTAATTTATTGGGTGTTCTGTATGCTTCTTGAATTCTTATTGGTCTTTCCTTTAAGTTGGGGAAATTTTCTTCAATGATTTTGTTCAAGATATTTTCTGGTCTTTGGAGCATGGAATCTTCTTTTTCCTCTACACCTATTATTCTTAGGCTTTTTCTTTTTATGTTGTCTTGAATTTCTTGGACGGTCTGTGTCAGGAATTTTTTAGATTTAATATTTTCTTTGACAGATACATCTATTTCTTCCATTGTGTCTTCCACACCTGAGATTCTTTCTTCCATCTCTTGTAGTCTATTGCTTATGCTAACCTCTGTGGTTCCTGTTTTCTTCTCTAAGTTCTTTCTTTCCACAGTTTCCTCCATTTGTGTTTTCTTTAAGTTTTCCAATTCTATGTTCAGGTCTTGAGCCAACTTATTCTGATAGCGATGTCTCACAGTTAGCATCTTACTGGATATCTCATTATGATATCACCATTGCAGTTATTCTCTCAATAGATTTCTTTAAAAACACATTTTTTATGTTCTTTCTGAATAACTTTGATACTCCCTACCCAATATAAATACCCAAGGTGTATTATGTCTACCATCAACTTACTTCTATATTCTTCCCAAATTTATCTCTCCAAGCAATTTCATTTTTTAATTTTAATTGTTTATTAATTACAGTTTATTCACTTTGTATCCCAGCCGTAGCCCCCTTCCTCATTCCCTCCCAATCCAACCCATGCCCCTCACCAAGTCCACTGATAAGAGAGGTCTTCCTCTCCTTCCATCTGACTCTAGCTTATCAGGTCTGATCAGGACTGGCTGCATTGTCCTTCTCTGTGTTCTGACAAGGCTGCTCCCCCATCAGGGGAAGGTGATCAAAGAGCCAGCCACTGAGTTCATGTCAGAAACAGTGCCTATTCCTCTTACTAGAGATCCACTTAGATACTGAGCTGCCATGGGGAACATCTGATCAGGGGTTTTAGGTTATATCCATGAATGGTCCTTCGTTGGCTTATCAGTCTCAGAAAAGATCCCTGTGTCCATAATTTTGGTTTGGTTGTTCCCCTTGTGGAATCCTGTCCTCCTCAGGTCTTACCATCTTCCCTTTCTTTCATAAGATTCCCTGTACTCTGCCCAAACTTTGGTTATGAGTCTCAGCATCTGCTTTCATACACTGTTGGGTAGAGTCTTTCAGAGGCCCTCAGTTTTAGGCTTCTGTCCTGTTTCCTGTTTTCTCCTTCTTCCAGTGTCCATCCCTTTTGTCTTTCTGAGTGAGGATTGATCATCTTACCCAAGGTCCTCCTTCTTGCTTAGGTGTACAGATGTTAGTATGTTTATCCTATATTATATGTCTAATATCCACTTATAAATGACTGTATATGGTGTGTCTTTCTCCTTCTGGGATACCTCACTTAGAATGATATTTTCTATATCCCACAATTTGTTTGCAAATTGCACGATTTTCTTGTTTTTAATTGCAGAGTAGTACTCCATTGTGTAAATGTACCACAATTTCTGTATCCATTCCTCCGTTGAGGGACATCTGCTTTGTTTCCAGGTTCTGGCTGTTATGAATAAAGCTGCTACAAACATGTTGTTTTTTTGTTGTATACTTGAGCATCTTTTGGATGTATGCCTAGAAGTGGTATAGCTGGATCTTGAGGTAGCACCATTCCTAATTTTCTGAGAAAGCGCCAAAGTAGTTTTAGGAGTTTACATTTCCACCAGCAATGCAGGAGGGTTTCCCTTTCTCCACAGCCTCTGCAGCATATATTGTTACTAGAGTTTTCACCTGTTTATTCTTGTTTAATTTTCTTTTCACTACTATATAATTCTTAGATGTCCCCTGCTGGAAAAAAGTATCTCATGCTGCTGCCTGATAGGGCTCTTCCTTATATCATAAAAGTGGTGAAATCATGCTTGCAATTTAGTAAACCTAAGCTCAATTGTCTTCTCTTCCTAAGGAAACTTCATTGTCCCTAAGATTAATTAATTTTTACTTTATACATAGTAATGTTTTATTTGCATGACTGTATATGCACTGCATACATGATTAGTGACCACATAGAAATAAGACAAGAGGGTGTCTGTTTCCGTAGAATTAGCGTGATGGATTCTTTGAGCTGGCATGTTGGTGTTGGGAGTCAAACTTGAATCCTCTGTTTGAGCAACAATGTTCTCAACTGCTGAACCACTGCTCCAGCTTTTGAGGGAAACTTCTCATTCAACATCCTAGAAACCATAGCAACAGCAGCAGCATGTACCCTTCCTTTGTCCATCTTCAAGCTCTGTATTCTTGTCTGTATTACAACATCCTAAGTAATAAAACTATACTTTGTCATTACTGGTTTTCTTTTTTATTTTTATTTTTTTGATTATCATCAAAAGCCAGAAAGCAATTCATACTCTTCTATATTCTCTGAGTGAGGCCTCAGTTTAGGCACAAAAACTACTAGGGAAGTCTTTAATATATTAACACTTTAATATAGCTGGAAAGTATGCTTGTATGTGTGAACCCAAGTTCACCTTTTATGCAAGTCTCTTCACTTCTTATTCATAACAGTTAAAGTTCAGAGAGTGAATAGTTTTCATAATGTCACAACTCATCATGGGAAGGCCTGAACACATTGACCAATTCCTGTTCATAACACTATACATCCATATTTGCTGAAGTTATTTTGGGTGATGTATATTCAAATATTCAAGAATACATTGTTTTGGTTTGGATGATATCAAACAGTATTAAAAGAATATTGTTATAATCCATAAAGGTTCATTGGAGACTCAAGTGTTTTTAAATTTTACAGGAACCACATGGCTAAGTGAAATTGTATATATGATCTATAAAGGTGATGTGGAAAAATGCAAGGAGGATGCAATCTTTAACAGAATACCTTACCTGGAATGTAGAAATGAAGACCTAATAAATGGTAATTTTTAAATAATTTTTTAAGTATGCAGGCATACATTTTAAGACATATGTATAGAATATGGTTGATAGATGGTATAGATATGTTTATGCTACAATAAAGGCAAAAGGATTTTAAGCAACATAGTTAATTAATATTCTGTCATGAATATAGGAGATTCTAAAACTTTAAACCCAGAGTAGTCTGATACCATTGTATGTGTTTGAAAGAGTAAATGATCTTAACTATTATATGTATTCCAGAAAGTCTTCTATTATGTCAGCATTTCTTTCTCAGTTTCCAGTAGTTTAAAATATTGTACATGGTAGGAAAACTATTCACTGAATTTCAAGAACATTCACAACTCTATTCATAAAAGTTTGCTTACCAATGTGTATTTGATCTTACTTTGCAATTCATTTAATTAATAATTTTCTTCACAGTGAGTTTGTATTATTATTATTATTAAATCAATTTATAATCTGAAGTAATCTTTTAAAAAGTCCATCAAAATTCATATGAACATTTTTAAATTGTACATATATATATTTTTTTTTAAATCAGGAGTGAAACAATTAAAAGAGATGGAATCTCCTAGAATAGTGAAAACTCACCTGCCAGCCAGTCTTCTTCCAGCATCATTTTGGGAAAAGAATTGCAAGGTAACCAGAATTACATTTTCTTAGACTTATGCTAAACTCTACCACTTTAAGGAGGCAGCTATCATTTAAAAGGCATCTTATACATACTTTATTCCTCTTTTCTTTAACAAAATTTTTTTTCAACAAAATTGAATTATTTTTGTTATAACACAAGTCTAGATTGTAATTATACTTTTCTTTTTTCCTTTACTTAAGATGATTCTGAAAACTAGTTAAACACTAAGCGTTGGCTTGTTTCTGGGTAAAAGAAGAGTAGTTGTGTCATTCTTCTGATAGAGCTAAGTACGATTATCCTTGAAATCTCAAGCCTAGTGTTTAACTCACTGGAAGCATGGGATGAATGCTAGGAGGCTATATTTATTTCCGGTAGATAGAATGTCTTTATTTTACAAAACATTGTAAAATAAATGTGTGACATCGTGAAACATTCAAATGAATCAGAATAGGATATCTAAACAAGTGTCCTGAGATAGGCATTTACCCAGTGAATGAAAATGACTGTTGTCCTCCATTTCACTTGCTAACAATGCACTCACACTTGAAAAACTATGAGAAAGAGATTTATTATTGTTTGTGGTTCTGATCCAGGGACAAGATGTTTTACTCGCTCATGGCCTTCTTGTTGACAAATTTTCAAGGCAACATATGAGAGAATGGATGCATAAACATTTATGTCTTTAGTCTCTAACCCTTTAAAACCACCAGTGCTCAGTAGTTTGCTTCTATGGTGACCTTTTCTAAATCTTGATACCTCTCAAAAGCCCAACTTCTGAATACCAGCCAGGTTGTGTTCATTCTACAGGTACACAACCCTCATTGTGAGCATTGAACTTGAATGTGAATTTGGAGGGTGCAAACCATATTCAAAGCTACTGGTTCCTGTCAAATGTTGGGCACACAAGACACAGGCCACAGAGGAAGACAGTGTAACCAGTCCTTATGAGATCTGATAGGCTAGGGTCAGATGGAAGTGGAGGAGGACCTCCCATATCGGTGGACTAGAGGAGGGGCATAGAGGCAGAAGAGAGTAGAAGGATAGAATTGAGAGGAGATGAGGTAGGGGGCCACAGCCAGAATCCAAACTGAATAAATTGTAATAAATGATAAAATTAAAAAATTAAATAAAACAATAAACTGAAAAAAAAAAGACACAGTCACTTAGAGTAAAGGCATAAGTAAACAGACCCTATGAGTAGTGCTTAGATCATGGAAGAGAAGACATCTAAATAGATGCATGGTTTAAATAGAGGAGAAGTCTATTCAAACCCAGAGACAGTTCCCAGAGATTGCTGAAACCAGTTCAGCTTACCAGGTAAGTGGCCATGCTGGGTAAACAACTGAAAGAAAATTCCCTAGGACTTATATATAAGAAAATTGGATCAGGCTCAGAAACTTTGATTTTACTTTAATTACAGTAAGCCTGGGTAGCTTTGTAGAGAAAAAGTCACACAATTTTACAGCATAGGCAAAGTGTGACCACAGAAAGAATGTTGTGTACCCTGCCTGCTAGAGTTTCTTGATATATTTGTCACTTTCTAGATATCTGGGGCTTCACACTTCAAAGGTTCTAATGCTTTCTTATTTTCAACTGAAATAACATTAAACATCCATCCTCTGTAGATTTTCTACAGAAAAGCTTTCTCACAGTTCTGTACTTTCTTCAGATGTCTCAGTACCATTTTTTTTCTTAAGAGTCTTTTGGTTTTTTTCAGAGTATGAATCATTAAACCAAACCCAGGCCCGAGAGTCAGAACATCTAAGAGATTTGCTACTGACTCATTTCATGACATTAGGCCAGGCATCTAATATTTCTGAATCTCAGTTTTTTAACCTGGAAAATGAACATAATTCTGTATTCTTTCTCTCAAGGACAGAGATAATATGAATCTAAAGTGAATAATAGTGTTATTTTTCATGTGATTGGTATCGACATGGAAGAATACGATTTGTAGCTTTGTTGAAGGATGGCTAAGCACACTTTGTCTTCACTGTGTACAGCTTATAGTGGAGAGATCAGATTTCATCTGTGTCATATTAGAATATGTCCTGGGAGATCTCTACTGTATTACAAGAAAGTATTTCAGGGCTTGCTATTTTTTTTTTCCCGCAGGAAGACAAAGGCTTAAAGGGAGTTCTTCCAATGACTTTGATGTGAGCACCTAGTAGTGCCATTTTCTTTCTTTCTTTTTTTTAATTTTATTTTTCTTTTTAGTTACATTTTGTTAACTCTGTGTCCCAGCTGTATCCTGCTCCCTCATTCCCTCCCCAACCCCACACTCTCTCCCTGGTCTCCTCCCTGCCCCTTTCCAAGTCCACTGATAGGGGAGGACCTCCTCCCCTTTCATTTGACCCTGTTTTATCAGGTATCTTCAGGGCTGGCTGCAAAGTCCTCCTCTGTGGCCTAACAGGACTGCTCCTCCCCTGGGGGGCGGGTCAAAGAGCCTGCCCTTGAGATCCTGTTAGAAATAGTCCTTGTTCCCCTTACTTTGGAAAACTACTTGGTTACTGAGCTACCAGGGGCCACATCTGAGCAGAAGTTCTAGGTTATATCCATAGATGGTCCTTGGTTGAGTGTCAGTCTCAGAAAAGACCCTGTGGCCAGATATATTTGGTCCTTTTTATGTTCTCCATTAAAATTTTAAATTAATAAAAGAGTTTTTTCTTTTTATTTATTTATTTTTTATTTATTACAGTTCATTCACTTTCTATCCCAGCTTTAGCTCCCTCCCTCAACCCCTCCCAATCCTACTCTCCTTCCCTCTTCTCCTCCCATGCACCTTCCCAAGCCCACTGATAGGGAGGTCCTCCTCCCCTTCTATCTGACCCTAGCCTATCATCAGTACCGGCTGCATTGTCTTCCTTTGTGACCTCTTCACAGGGAGATGATCAAAGAGCCAGCCACTGAGTTCATGCCAGAGACAGTCCCTGTTCCTTGTACTGGGGAACCTACTTGGAGACTGATCTGCCATGAGCTACATCTGAGCAGGAGTACTAGGTTATCTCCATGCATGGTTGGACTATAAGTTTCAGAAAAGACCACTGGGCCCAGATTTTTTTTTTTATTTTGTTGCTGTCCTTATGGAGCTGCCCCCTTCAGGTCTTTTTATAAACCCTCCTTTCATAAGATTCCCTGTACTCTACCCAAAGTTTGGCTGTGTGGCTCAGCATCTGCCTCGATACCCTGCTGGTTAAAGGAATGGATACAGACATTGTTTTACATTTATGTAATAGAATACTACCCAGCAATTAAAAACAAGGAACTCATGAATTTTGCAGGCAAATGGATGGAATTAGAAAAGATCATCCTGAGTAAGGTATCTCGGAAACAGAAAGACACATGAGGTATATAACCACTTATAAGTGGATATTATACACATAATATAGGATTAACACACTTAAATCTGTACACCTAAGGAAGCTAAGCAAGAAGGAGGACCCTGGGTAAGATGCTCAATCTTCACTCAGAAAGGCAAAGAGGATAGACACCGGAAGAGGGAGAAAACAGGGAAAAGGACAGAAGTCTACCACAGAAGACCTCTGAAAGACTTCTTAAGAGTTTTAATCAAGCCACTTTTTTTTTTTCTTCTGAGAAGTGTTGTAAGATATTACTGCTACTTTGAAATCTGCAGATTGGATTTATTGCATACTTTCTTATGTCTCAGAGTCCATCAAAGAAACAGATATGATTGTATGAAATGAATGTGTCTTTGGATTATCTTCAGATTGGTTTATTAATTCATCAGAGAAGAGGTAGTAGAGAGTATTTTGTATGTTTGGAGTAGAGGATCAGAAAGAATAAGTGACAAAATAAAGAAAGTGATTTTAAAAAGAGCAGGACAGGGCTGGAGAGTTGGCTCAGAGGTTAAGAGCACTGATGTTTTTCTAAAGTTCAACTCTCAGCAAGCACATGGTGAATCATAACCATCTATAATGAGATTCGGTACCCTCTTCTTGCCTGTAGGCACAAACGCAGACAGAATACTGTATAAATAATAAATAAATAAAAAGGGCAGGACAATGAATAAGAAAACCACTTTTGGACAATGAATATGAACTTGCAGTGTGGTTTAGAGGAGACTGTGTTCAAATTGTTAGTTGAAACAAATGAATGAACAAAATCTCAAAAAAGGCACCGAAGCAGCTTGAGGCTCAGAGATCTTTCTGCCTGATCCTCTGCTACCTGGCATACATGGATCACAGACAGTGAGCCAGCAGAGACAGAGAATCTAGCATAGACTCCTTGAGACAGGGTGACCCAGACTGCAGTACAGGCTCTAGGAACAATCAGTCAATGCTACAAACAACTAGATGACTAGAGGCCGGCATAAGAATACAATAACAAAATTGATCATGATTGAGTACATGAGTTTAGTAAATTAAATGAGTTGTGAATTTAGATAATAAGAAAACCCAGAAGCAGAAAGACATACACAGTATATACTCACTTATAAGTTGGTACTAGATCTGTAAGATAGGATAAACATACTAAAATCTGTACACCTAAAGAAGAAAAACAAGAAAGAGGTCCTGGGATAAGATGATCAATCCTCACTTAGAAAGACAAATGGGATGGACATTGGAAGTAGGAGAAAATAGGGAACAGGACAGGAGCCTACCACAAAGGGCTTCTGAAAGACTCTACCTAGCAGTGTATCAAAGACAATGCTGAGACTTATAACCAAACTTTTGGCAGAGTGCAGGGAATCATATGAAAGAAGAGGGAGTTAGTAAGACCTGGAGAACACAGAAGCTCCACAAGGACCTAATATATCTGGTCACAGGGGGCTTTTTATTAGACTGTATCTCCAACCAAGGTCCATGTATGGATAGAACCTAGAACCCTTGCTCAGATGTAGCCCATGGTAGCTCAGTATCCAAGTGGGTACCATAGTAAGGGGAACAGGGACTATTTCTGACATGAACTCAATTGTAGGGTCTTTGAACTCTTTCCTGCCACCTCCTCCCCCCCGAGGGAGGAGAAGGCTTCCTAGGCCGCAAAGGTGGACATTGCAGGCAGTTCTGATAAACTAGAGTCAGATGGAAAGGGAGGAGGACCTCCTCTACCAGTGGACTAAGAGAGGAGCAGGGAAGAGATGAGGGACGGACGGTGGGATTGGGAGGGAGTGAGGGTGGGGGCTACAGCTGGGATACAAATTTAATAAATTGTAACTAATATTTAAAAAATAAAATAAAAAAGAAAGCACAGAAGTTGGAAAGGGTTAAAAAAAAGTAGGCTAGTGTTCAAATTATTACCTCAAAGAAATGAATGAACAGCTTAGGTACAAAGTAGAAGTCCTTTTCTTCTCCTTTGAATTTTTTTTTTAAATTCTTTACACATGAGAATAATTCTTCAAAGAATAAGCAGACATGTTTCTCTAAAACGGTTTGTAATGCATAAAGAAGGTAATGATCTCAACTTCAGCGTCTTAGTTGTAGAGTGGTAGGGACAGAACTCTTTTAAAAATTTTATTTATTTTTTATTAATTACAATTTATTCACTTTGTATCCCCCCTCCCAATCCCACCCTCCATTCCTTTTCTTCTCCTATGCCCTTCCCCAAACCTACTGATAGGGAAGGTCCTCCTCCCCTTCCATCTGACCCTAGCCTATCAGGTCTCATCAGGACTGGCTGCACTGTCTTCCTCTGTGGCCTGGCAATGCTGCTTCCACATCAGGGGGAGGTGATCAAAGACCCACCCACTGAGTTCATGTCAGAGACAGTCCTTGTTCCTATTACTAGGAAACTTGGAGATTGAACTGCCATGGGCTACATCTGTGCAGGGGTTCTAGGTTATCTCCATGCACGGTCCTTGGTTGGAATATCGGTCTCAGAAAAGACCCCTTTGACCAGATATTTTGGTTCTGTTGCTCTCCTTGTGGAACTCCTGTCCCTTCCAGGTCTTTCTATCTTCTCCTTCTTTCATGAGATTCCCTGCACTCTGCCCAAAGTTTGTTTATGAATCTCAGCATCTGCTGGGTAGAGTCTTTCAAAGGCCCTCTGTAGTAGGCTTCTGCCCTGTTTCCTGTTTTCTACTTCTTCCAAAGTCCATCCCATTTATCTTTCTGAGTAAGGATTGATCATCTTACCCAGGGTACTTAGGTTACTGAATATGTTTCTTAGAAGAATCAGACTAATAGCCACTAGGAAATAGAGCAGACATTGCTTCAATGTAACATACTATGTTTTTTTTTTTCTGTATATTGTTTATACTTTTATCTTTTTTCACACTAAATTTATATTTTTACTTGCTGGAAACATGAATCTTTAAAACTTGATTACAACATGGTTGATCATCTATGCAGTGATTTAACAATTTATCTCATCCTCTAGATGATCTATCTTTGCCGGAATGCCAAGGATGTGGTGGTTTCTTATTATTACTTTTTCCTAATGATAACTAGTTATCCAAACCCTGATTTTTCAGAATTTGTGGAGAAATTTATGCAAGGACAAGGTAAGAGCACCTTAACTACTTTGGATTTTTTTTCAGAAAAGAAAAATAAAAACATATGCTATTTTGTGCAAATGAATATAAATGAATTAATATAAACAGAGATAATATAAAAGAAGTATAATATAAATATATAAAAACAGAACTATAGTATATTATATAAATAAAGATAGAATGTAAAATAATATAAACATATGTAGCCAGAAACACAAGATAAGTAAATATATAAATATGTACAACAGATGAATATAATATATAAACAGAAATAAAATATAATATAATATAAGAAAATATACATATACATAAAGATGAATATAACGTAAATAAAATATAATATAAATTTGTATGTAAACATATATAGACTATAAGGTTCCAAATGGATATAATATTTCACAAATTCTAAAACACAGATGCTTAGAGTAATGGCAGGCTGATGTATGTGAGGAGGATGAAAAATTAGAAATCTAGGGATTCTAATATAATCCCAACAAGTAAATGCATTGACTTTGTTGTGACCAGCAGGGTTGGTAGTTTGCCTTTTATAAGTCTGAGAGCTAAAGCATCCCTTCTCTAACATACAGTTTTATATTTTCAAAATGTTTTAGAACATGTTATTGAAACATGATTTAAAAGTGGGTGAAGTTGTAAAAGCATGACTCATTTTTTTTCCAGTAAAATGCCAAGTTATTAAATGAAGTCATATGTAGGTATTTATTGTTATTCTGAATAGTTATAAAACTCTTGCTTATTTTTCTAGGTATGTAGATTGAACATGTTCATTTTTATTTCACTGAACAGTAAAGAGTTTCTTGAGGAGATATTATGGGAATGTTACCATTTCATTAAAATTCTGACTAAAGCAATGGAGTATTTGTATTTGAAGACAAAGGGGGGAAAGTAGTTTAAGCTTCATTAAGTAAGCAATGTAAATTATGTAGGGATAATTGAAAAAACATTTTAGATCCATAGAACATAATATTGCTCATTAGAAGTTGTGGCTTGCAGAAAAAAAAGTATTCTAAAGCATCATGAGGAAAACATATGCCTCAAGATTGTCAAGATCTCCTTGAAATACAGAGAAAAATAATTTATGTGCCTTAAAATGGTGAATTATATCATTATAATGTCACTGTGGGTCTTCTCAAGAAAAAAATCTGCTTATAGCATCAGAGCACAGAGCATCAACAGTGGGTCAATGTCAAGTCTAGTGGTGACTCAAACTGTCTGTGCTAGCCTTGGATTTGATGAAACTGTTGTATAAAGGCAACAGAAGAAAAAGTGACAGCATTTGCCATATCACAACATCTCCAAAATCTAACTTTATGGAACAAGAGGGATTGAAATTGTCCTATGAGAGTGAATTTCACAATCTGAATTACTAGTCTTATAGTAAATGCTCACATAACTACTAGTCTCTCTCTCTCTCTCTGTCTCCCTCTGTCTGTCTCTCTGTTTCACACAAACAGAAATACCCAGATATACATAGAAACATAGACTCACATACAGAGAAAAACATAGCTCTCCACACACACACACACACACACACACACACACACACACACACACAGCAGTTTAAACATGCTTTTATTGCTCTAAATTGAATTGGTTTGTCTTTTCTCAGCATCACAATGCATGCCATGCGGTTAAACTAAAAGTATGTTTTTGAAGATAAAATTATTCAACATTTTTGAATCATTGCTGTACAGAACTCTTCTTAATAAGTCTAACTGACCTGTTCTGATTCTATGATCATTTTGCCTTTTTAAAAATAATTTGAATACTTCTGTCAAGATTACAAAATAATAATCTAATATCTTTACACTTTTTTCTTCTTATTCAGTTCCGTATGGTTCCTGGTACGATCATGTCAGATCTTGGTGGGAAAAGAGTAAGAATCCACGAGTGCTATTTATGTTCTATGAGGACATGAAAGAGGTAAGGGACGGAAGACATATAAACATTTTCAGTAAGCTTAAAGATTCTTTTAACATCTGACATTACCCTGAATGCAATATTAGCACTGGAAACATGGCATCAACCACTTGCAAAGCTATGAAAGGAAAAGAACAGTAATCCAGTTTGATTAAATTTTAATCTAGTAAATAAAAAAGTTTAGTGATTATGTACACCTTAAATCCCAGTGTCAAAATTTTTCTAAAGATAAACTTTGCAAAAAGAACCTTGAATTCATAGAAATAAGAAACAAAATCAATATACACACTTGGATGATCACCAAACTTGCTCTTTCTTTCACTGCACACTGTAGTCTGAGAGTTTATGTGTTTAGTGTATGATATTGGTTGTGATATACCATGTATGAGATTATAATATCTAGGTATGGTAGCTGACACCTGCAATTCCAGCACTTTTGAGGCTGAGACAGGTAATTAGGAGTGTGAGCCCTGTTTGAACAGAGTAACAAGTCTTGCCTAAAAATGAATAAAAAATAATTAAATATTCCTGACCAGGTAGATGTGTCAGTGGATAAGTCATTGCTATGCAAAATGAGGCCTGGAATTCAGATCCCACCCCTTTATTAAACCAGGGAGGCATGAAAGCTGGCTTTTAATCCTAGTGCTATGGACACAGGAAATGCCACAGGCAAACTGACAGGACAAATTAACAGAATCAGTGTACTCTGTGTTGAGGGAGACAACCTGCCTCAGGAAAATAAAGAATATTGTAAAAGAAGAATTTATATAACTACATATTTCTATTTTCACACACTCAAATACAAATGTATGTGCATTTAACTGTATGGATGCTCACATACATACAAACTTGCATACACACACAACAGACATGTCTATGGAAAAATAAATAGAAATGAAAAGAATTAGAAAGAACTGTTTTACTTGTTGTAAAATTACCATTTTGCAACTCATCTTATTTAGGCCTAAAAGTTTTTAAAGTGTCTCCTGAATCTATTTTTTTGGATGAGGAAGAATTGTTTTAGAATAGTTTGTTTTCTTCATTATATGTTTAAATCTAATATGACCAGGTAGAAAATAATGTTCTCTATCATGTTTTGCCTATTTCCTATTCACCAATTTTTGTCAACTTGGTCTTCAAATCACTTTGTTTCTCTGTAGGATATCAGAAGAGAAGTGATAAAACTGATAGAGTTCCTGGGGAAGAAGCCCTCAGCAGAGCTCTTGGACAAAATCATTCAACACACCTCATTCCAGGAGATGAAGAACAATCCATCTACCAATTATACAATGATGCCAGAGCACATGATGAACCAAAAAGTATCGCCTTTCATGAGAAAGGGTGAGAAAAGAAAGTGTTGCAGAAAATATACAATTAGCTTATAGTGTTTATTATTAAATGCCTGTAATTATTACCATGTTCTTATCTAGCCCACTATCATAATCAATAAAAGATACAGACACCTGTTATATTTTAGAATAAGTCTTAATTTATCTGGGTCTGGGCAGATATTTCCACCTAAGCTATCTTGTTATGCCATCTGCTTTAATCATTTCTATCTGTGCTGCTTTCTACCCATAATTCCATTATTACTTACTGATGCTCTCCATCTGGGCTGCTTCTCTCCATGTGATCCTCAGTCACATGGTTCTTCACCTACCCCATCCTGACTACCCTCTTTCTCCTCCAGTACCTTCTGTCCTCCATGATCCTTCTGTCCCCAAAGCCTGGGAATCTTAGTTAGGCCTCTCACTTCTGCCTTTCCCCAGGGTAGGCCTTTTATTCAGGCAATCGGGAATAATTTCTTACGCAAAGTTACGTATGTTATTTTGTGGTGTCTGCTCATAAAATACAACAAGCCCACCCTGGGGAACAAAATAATCAACAATCAAAAATACAAAGCATCAGATCGTGCTGTACAAGGGAGTCAGGTAACTTTCTGTTAAAAGGACTAAGCTGCCATGACTTAGGCAAAAATCTACTCAAGTTATTCACCCTGCATAACCAGAATATTTTTTCTTTACATCTATTTTTTCTTGAATTATTGAATTATGAAGTTTGTAGCTGAATTAAACACTATTTATTAATAAATCCAAGAAGATTTTACTAATACTGAATTTATTTTCTGTTTATTTAGTGTGAGAAGGATATCATACACTGTATAATGGCAGACACCTCAGCATCAGCAATGATACCATAATGTACCCACTGTCATTAACTAGGTCTACATATATTGGGTGTATACCATTATGCCTTATATATATTATCTCTACAGATCTTGATTTGAAACTAGGAAAATGGATTTACTATCTTATTTTGAGATAAAGAAACAAGTTCTGAAAAATAATGTTTTTCTTGTACAAATGACAGAAAGTTTTGAATGCTAAATGACAAGGAAGGAATTCAAAACAATTATATTTATCAATAATATCAAAACACAATAAAAGGAAATATTTCATAGAAGCAGTATCTGGTGAACTATATATACACCAGCAGTATCTGGTGTCAATTTGTAAACCTGAAATTTGGAATTATTTTTGTGTAACATTCAGGGAACAATGCCATGCAAGTAACTGGAAGTAAAAGCATAAGTCTGGTTTTGAGAGATTAATGAACACAAAGATGATGTTCAATAATTTGGTCATCACTGCACCATGGATCTCATTGTGAAGGCCTGATATATGAGAGAAAATCAAAGAAGAAAGCTTATTGGAGATGGTATACAAAAGAAAGGATGAGTCAAGTAGGATTTTTTTTCAAGACATTAAAATCTAATTTGTCTTTGCAAAATCAAATAATGTGATATTCAAATATTTTATTGGGAAACTTAAATATTAGGAGAATTTTTCACAGTATCAATGAAATAGATACCAGATTAATAAAAAGCCTCCTGATTGTGGCTCAACAGGTTGACACTTCTGTTTTCATCTGTTTCTTTCCAGGAATCACGGGAGACTGGAAAAACCACTTCTCAGCAGAGCTAAGGGAGAGATTCGATGAGCACTATGAAGAGCAGATGAAGGACAGCGCTGTGAAGTTCAGAACAGAGCTCTGAGATGCTTCCTTTTCTTGCATCTGAAACTGGAATGTTCTTCACTTTATCCTCCAGTTTCTCTTGTTTTGCTTTTCAGTACAAGAGTCTTTTTGAAGGCTGATGATTTAATTTCATTCTGTCTTTTAAACTTTTACATCAATTTAATTTCTGAATGAGTTTGACAGCAAAATCACATTTCTCTCATATATAATATAAGCATGTGTTCTCTAACAGTGCTCAAATATTTCTAATAAAAATAATTTGATGTCTCCATATTTAAACATCTATTCATTCATTACAATATAAATCTTTCCTTGGTGACACACAGACCAACAAATATAGAGGCACTTTGAGATTCACAAGTAGGTAACCTAGTGATTGTGTTTTAATGCCAAATATATACAAAATTATATGAACAAATTAAAACAATCCCAAGAATTGTGAGGTCACTTCAAGATAACATCTAAATAACATAAATTTATAGAATGAGTTAAACTAAAACATAAGTAATGTCTTTTCATATGATTTTTAATTTTAGTTTTATATTAATTACATTTTTTTGTTTTATATCCCAACTGTAGCTAAGGACTTTGAACATTTCTTTGAGTGTTTCCCTGCCATTTGATATTCTTCTACAGAGAATTCTCTGTTTAGCCATTTTATAATTGGATTACTTGATTTGTTGCTTTTTAACTTCTTGAGTTCTTTATGTAGTCTGGATGTTAGCCCTCTGTCAGATATAGGGTTGGTGAAGATCCTTTCCCAATCTGTAGGCAGTCGTTTTGTTTTGATGATGGTGCCCTTTGCTTTACAGAAGCTTTTCAGTTTCATGAGGTCTCATTTATTGATTGTTGATCTTAGAGCCTGTGCTGTTGGTGTTCTGTTCAGGAAGTTGTTTCCTGTGCCAATGAGTTCTAGGCTCTTCTCCCCTTTTTCTTCTAACCGATTTAGTGTGTCTGGTTTTCATATGGTTTGATCCTTTAGTCCATGCTGATGGAGTACAGAATCATAGATTGCCATCACTGTCATGTAGAATCATGTAAGATTTACATCACCTAGAATTTGGAGAGTTTTCCAACAAAAGCAATACAGTAATAGAGTAAAACACAATCCATTTATTGTTTTATATAGGTCGAACCACCCCAGTATCTCTGGAACAAATGAGTCTTGCTAGTGATCAATCACCAAAAACCAAACGATGAATCTCCTAGTAGTGGTTTGATCGTTTCTTACAATGCGTTTGGATCCTACCAAGCTCTCCTCCCTTAGTTCTTCCCAGATACCCCTCCCTTCCTTAACTACACAACTTTGTACCCCTTTGAGACCCTCCAAGACCAATGTGTGCTGCTCAAATTGTCTTGGATATGTGCTCTTTCACCAGAGCATGGTCAACTTACTGGGGCTACACTCTTAGAGATAACTCTAGCTCATTCTGCCTGCAGCTAACAATTGCCAGTGTCTCCAAGGCCTGGGTGGTATTTTGTGCCTAACTACCTTTCTGTGCTAGAATTTGGTCTGGCTTTGATTTGTGCAAGTGTTTTGCATGTTGTCACAACTTAAATGAGTTCATATTTGTAGCCCCCTTGTGTGAGAGCAATCCAGTGCTTCCCTGTAGTCACGAATCACCTCTGGCTTTTACATTCATTCTTCTCCAAGTGATCCCTGGACCTAGAAGGTTGGGTGAGGGATATATCTTCCTTTTAGGGCTGATCATCTGCAATATCTTATTCACTTTTGTGTAATGAAGCATTTGCAGACTAGATAGATCTCTCTAAAAAATAGTAACCAATTATATAGATTTAAGCTGTGATGTTAAATACATGTCAGTCAGGCTTTAGCTTGATCAGATGGTAAAGGTCAGAATATTTATTTTTAGTTTGTCCCCACCTCAAATAAAATTAAATTACATGAATGTGGGCAATTTGCTTTTATTCATTGGAATAGCAAAACCTGTTCATAGTAAATTCTAAAATAACTGATGAATTAATGAATGGTAAGGTGAATCCGTGAGTATCAAGTCATATATATTTGCCTTTAAAAATAGCCATATCTAGAGTTCTCTAAATATGCATAAAAACTACATTGCTATCACTTTCATATCTTAAAAATTGAACTTTTATTTTAAATTATTTTTTTAATTATTTTGTCCTAAATTTCAATTTTAAGACCAAAGCTGTAAAAGAAAATTTAACATGCATGTACTAATGACAAATACTCAGAGTTAAGTATACAAAAGTCTAAATACAAAAGACTAAATACAAAAGTCTCCATTATTGATTTTTATTTGTTTGTTTGTTTTCAAGACAGGGTTTTTCTGTGTAGTTCTGGCCATTTTGGAATTTGCTCTGTGAATCAGGCTGGCCTTGACCTCAGAGATCTGCCTGCCTTTGCCTCCCAAGTGCTGGGATTAAAAGTGTGTCTCACTATTGCCAGGCTTAGTGATTGCTTTTTATGAAGACTTCAGGAAGAACTTCTGGTCAATTCTGATGATGAATCTAAAGATTTCAAGTTTCTACATCTGTAAAAACATTTAGTTGTTCTGTGTTCATGTGTCTTTGTGGAGCCACTGATTCCTGGGCTGTTGTGACAAAAATAACTGGTACCATTAATAGCAGCAACACATGTGTCTATCCCTCCCGTTCTGTAGGCCTTTGTAACCTGAGCCATTAGCTGTTTTTGATGCCCTGCAAGAATAACTGGGATCAGGCTCTAATGCTTCTCTGTGTCACTCTTAACCTCCTGCCTCTCTCTCTTCTTTTTCCCTTTAATGTACTCAGTTTCCCACATGGGTGTTTATCATATTGCCTCTAAGATTCCTTAGGTTTGACTCATTTGAGATGCATGTGCATGGAAAAATCAAAATTCACCCCTTAACATTATACATATATTCAATGTATAAGAAAAAATGGGGGATATGGACTTTTTGTATGGATCTAATACTACCAGAGCATATGTAACACTGATAAAGTCCATTCAGATCATATCATTTCCCAAACCCATATTTTTTTGTGCCAGATATGATGGATTTTATCTTGTTTTCCACTTTTGTCTGTATGCTGTCTGTATAGTGATATTTATGTGTTACAAACATGCTTATATTTACACCATACACACAGAGCCTACTAATTCATAACTTTTGTCTCTAGGGAATACTTATATTTATTTTTACAAAATATTTTAAATCATTTTCACCATCAAGATTGGCAGTAGCATAATAACAATTGTATTTAGAATCAATGAAAGCAACACCGCTGAGCCTCCGCTAAGTGTAGTATGTTGCCTTTTTTCTGTGTACTCACTTAAGACCTATATTTTACACATTGGTTCCTTGTAGGGGAGGATAAGTTGTATCATGGATTCAGTTTCTACATGGCAGGAGAGGTGGAGAGAAGCATGTGAAATCAGATTGATGGTTGTTAAATTTCCTGGTTAATTTCAATGGGACCAAAAGAGGTGGGGTCAGCACCTCAGTGAAATTAACAGGCTATGATTTATCGCATAATCACTCAGGCTGTGATTTATCTGTGGCTTTATAATGATACATTAGTTTCAGCTCTGTCCTATGAGACTGCAAGCAGTAAGTTCATAGTGCAACTTCCCTAGAATGTAAATCTCCAGTCTCCTATGTGGGCATAGGGGCAAAGACTGAGGATCACTTTCTGGCTATAAGGAATCAGAGGAGGCAATCTAGGAATCTTTCTCTCTTTGTTTATTTCACTGACCTTTAAAAATGTTTAACTGCCTGCAGGTGCTTTGCTGTGCTGTGACTCCACAGAAACATGCAGTTTGGGCTGTGCTAGACTTCTACCATGAAGCATACTGAAACAAATAAACAAAACAAAACAAAACAAAACCAACAAACCAAATGAAAAAAATACCCTCTCAAAATCTTACTCCTGTACCTAACAATATGTATGCTTGAGATGTTCACAAAGGAGATTAATAAAAATTAGTTATAACCTCATATCTTACAAAATGAGAGGCTTTACCCTCCACTCACTTTGTCACACCAGCAGTTAGATGTGAAGCCTGGGAATAAAAATTGGGAAACATATCACAGAACACATTTTGTCATGTGGAAAATTAAAATGGCTTCCAGGGTACTGTTATTTGGAAATGGATGTTATTACATTTGCTGGTTGTTAAGTAGTTAAATTGTTATGGTAAATAATCTAGTATATCTTGGGATGCTACAGCACCATTTGAGGAGTAGAATTAGCTCCGTGTTTTCTCGGCTGCACTTTCTTTCCCCCTTCTTCTTCACAGGGAACATGCCCTTGCCTTTGTAGATCTGGAGCGTCTGATAAATCACTTTTCCTTAGATTGTCTCATAGGCACACAAGAGCCGTGAAATAGCATGGTTTGCTTTTCTTCTCCAGTTTAAATCAGGATTTAAAGCAATGAGCTTTCCCTGTTGATCACAACTATTTCAGAGCTGTAAGTTCAGGATAGGTATATTCTTTTATTCTGTTTTCCACCTACTGTTATAACAAACATCCATAACACTTTTTTTGAGTCTTTCAAAACAGCAATCGGCTTTCTTCGGTATAATAAACAGTTTTAAGCCGTTCTTTAGCCTTCAGGCTTCACTGTTCAAAACAACTCAGAGAACAAGGCTTCCATTTATTAGCTTCTCTGCAAACACAGTCTAGATCTGCAGTTCTTATTAGCAGATTCTTTGAAGTATGTTATTTGAACACTACATTCTAGAACTCAGAAACAAGAGACAAAAACCTGAAACATTCTCGTATTTGTGTTTTTATAAGATACGAAAACAGGGAGATCCAAGATAGAGCGACCAGCACACACGTTATCTGAGAGGCAGAGGTTCTGAAACTCTGAAATTGGTGAGTGGAGGGGCAGCTGAAGCCAGAACATTGACATTGAAGCTTCCTGGGTGAAAGGGACAACCTGTGAGACCATTTGGATCCAGGTCCCCTGCGGAGTTCTCTGGGGATTGAGGGTGGCAAAGAGTCAATCCTGCTGCACTTTGCCTTGTTGGGCTTACCTCTTCCTAGGCAGAGGCGGCCCACAGTGCTGATGTCTCATAGCACAGAACTCCCTGCTCAGTGACTGAGATAGCAATGATGGTGGTGTCCTAGACCCTCAGTTGTTGCTGCCAGCTGTAGCAGCCTTCTGGGTGCTGGGTCCAAGAACTGCTGTCTGGGCCCTCCAGGGCCTCCCAAGCAGCAACTGTACTGGCAGCCTAGTCCCTCAGTGGTGGACAGCCAACTTTACAGGCCACCCAGGTCTGTGTACCACTGTAGTGGCTC